ATAGTAATGAGTTTATTTTAGCCAAAAATAACTTTTTCTTCGCCTTACATAGAGACATAGCTTTTATTTAATTTGCTGTATTCATCCAATAGATTTCTAGTTTTATTTCTACGAAACATTCGTAATATTCTGCTTTTTTTGTTGTTGTTGTTTTCTTTAAACGTAGACACTGCAGATCAAGCCATTGTTTCTCAAATAATAATACAGAAATATTTTTTTTTAACCATTCCACATCGTAAAGCCAAAGTTAAAGTCGTCAATAGTTTATCATAGTAACTCTGCGCATCCAACAAAAAGGTGCTTTTAACCGAAATATATAGCGAACTAATCAAAGATAAATACCGGTAATTATTCAATATTTCTTGTTTCCATATATAACGATTTTCTAGAAGTTTCCGAGTCAATACACTATCTTTCGTAAATCCAAACGATATTGAAATCAGAAAATGATCAAAATTAATAATATTAAGAACTCTAAAATCTAATAATCTATCTAATAAATTTACATTTACTGTTATTAAATCTATAACAGATAGACCAATTGTCGAGAGAAAAGTAAATTTAGCCGGATAATCTTAAACATATCGACCGTTTAAAATAAATAATCCATACAACTTAATTGTAAAAATCATTTTCCGCTTTGGTTTAATATTAAATCATTAGATCTTCGTGAATTTAAAACATTTGTATTAAAACCGGCATAAAAATTATCCAATTTCTCGCCTATTCTAACATTCATGTCTCCTATTATAACTATCATCCTGAGAAAAATTCCTCAGCAAATCTTCCATTTTAGCTAATAGTGCATCATAAAGATCTATTCTCAAATAAGCAAGAACAATTATCAGACTATAATTAAGTACACAAAATTTTTCCTACTATTAAATCTAATTACTATCAGATCATCGAAGTTAAACAACAATTCCGAAGAACCTAATTTATGGGAAACTGCAAGAATGAGACCGTCATACGGACGACAGGGACCAGTTGGTTTTTTTTAGCAAATTGTTCGTGTAAAAATAATCTGGATTCAACAAAGTGCGGTCCCGTTTATAAGAGTAACTAACTCTTATAAACGGGACCTCACTTTGTTGAATCCAGATTTATTTTTATTTTAACCAAGTCTCAGTGAAACCAACTAAATCATAATTTTGCAATATATATATATATATAAACTCTTGGTCATTCACTGTCAAGTCCAACATTCCTTGACAATACCAATACAATATTCTCATTACTAAAGTTTTATTCCTCTCTTTAGCAATTGTTCCAATTAACCCTTTTGGCTGGATTTGTCTAAAAAAATATTAATCTTTTGTAGTTCATTCGTTTCTAAATTGAAAGTGAATTTGTCACCATCGACCGTCAAGCAATCAGCTTTTAGAAATGCTTTTTTATTCAAAGGTTTAGCTTCCGCAAAAAGCAACAATTTTATACGCCCAAGTCTCAATTTATAAGACAAATCATCAAAGACTAATGCGCGAGTAGGACGGCAACTCCTGAATTTTCTTTAAGTTTTTAAAAATAAGTCTTTTGTCAGCTTGAGTATAGAGCTCAAACAATACAAGCAGAGTTCGCGATATTCAATAACTGTTAATAAAAGGAATAGACTCCCCGTTCTGTCTTTTAAACAACTCAGTAAAACCATTAGGCCTAGCATTAACTAATTCTTCCTCGTTACCACTCAAACAGGAAACGATAATGTTATTTTTCTTCGAAACCTTGTAAACAGAGTCTAAATAATAATTCCGAAGAGAAAAATTATCCATACATACAGTTCTAAAAATCGAAAGTTCGGTAATTTCTCTTTCCAGGCGGGTTAGATGTTCATCATACTCCTTATGTAACTTAGACAACCAGTCAAATTTCGATGACAATTCTTCCAGTTTCGATAGAATAGTATCAAAATGTTCCTCAAGAAAACACAGAATCTTTTGGAGTACAGTATTTGAGAAGAAATATCTTGCAATGCAAAGTAATCGTCGAGTCCAGATGTTTCAATGTTGGTTCGCTTGGAAATTGGCGACGTTTACCAGAAGTCGAAGCTTTATTGCGAGAAGAAGATGGTGTACGAGACATTGGACATGGATTAAGTTCGACTCCTCCAATAAGTAAAAAAGAACAAAATTAAAAAGATATTGAATTTTCTGTATAATAGGAAGTATTGGGTTGTTCGGAAAGTAAGTTCGTTTTTTTCCGTGAAAAAACACAATATTTTTATAATAAATAAATATTTTATTGAATTATATATCGACTATTTTGATCAAATACCTGTTGTCATCGTTTCTGGTAGTACTGTAGCATGATTTCACATTCATAAAAGTTTTGATCGTTGCTTACAAAAAACTGATCCAAGTGATTTTTGACATTGTCATTTCAAGTAAATGTCTTACAGTTAAAAAAAATTGTACATACCGGAACAAGTAATAATCCGAGTGTGCTCGATCTGGCAAATATGGTTGGTGTGATAGCACGTCCCATCTAAGTTATAACAGTTTCTGAAGAGTTACCAAACTTGTGTGAAATTTGACATTATCGTGGTAAAACACTACACCTGTTTTGTTGATCAATTCTGGCCGCCTTTTCTGTTTTATGATATTACTCAATTTGTTTACTCGAAGGCAGTACACTTTCGAATCAATTGTTAAATTGTCTGGTAAAAGCTCCAAAAAAAAATTTCCTTAAAATACCACCAAAGAGAGCATCTCTCTTTAACATGTGGAACCCATATATCAAGCTTTGAAACGAAACCAATTTGTTTCAAGTAGTCATAAACACTTTAATTTGACAAATTTAATCTCTTAGTGATTTCACGTGTTTCGGCTAGGATTCGGCACTTTGCTTCAATCAGTGTTTTTGTTTTCATTGGCTTCAACTGGCCATCCAGAACGTGGTGCATCTTCAATATTGAAATTGCCAGAAAAAAATTTTGTAAACCAGTTTTGGCAATGTCGTTCTGTCAACACGTCATCTCCATACATGTACCCCAATTACATACATGTAATAGTTAAGACTCGGGCCTTGGTCACCTTAACCTCCTGTTCAAGCGCCGGAAAAATCGAGCAAGAACCCTTGCCAGCTTTTTTAATTTGCGACTTATTCTTATGTTTGTAAAATTTGCGTATTTTCGTTGAATTTCCGCACGATTTATACACGTTTCTTTTTAAATTAATTAATGTATTTTACGGTAAACACTGCAGCCAACTAATGGCATAACTAGAAGTTTAGTCCTTTCAGTAAAATATGGTAAAGGTGTTTCCAATACTTAGAACCTTATCCCTTCACAGTCATGATAACACAAATTGAAAATACAAACAACTCTCAAATTCAAATGGCTATCATATTACTGAAGGAAACTTAAACTTGATTTCCAAGTAGATCTTCCCACATTTTTTCAAGAAATAAAAATAATATACAAAGTCAGTGAACATAAATAGCTTTTTTTGTTATATAATTGAAAAATTCTAGTATTTTTGCTGTTCCGTAAAACAGTGTTTAAGACCTGAACATCACTTAACCACGCTTAATTGTGATTACGCCACTGAGTGAAACTATGAACGACAGACTATGTATAGTTTCGTGCAATGCTGGAAAGATCTCTTTTGCGCCTCGATAAATGTTAAAGCGAACATTCTGTATCTTATATTTTTCCTTTGGTAGGAAACTAGGAAAGTAGAATTCTGCGATGACCACACGTCATTTTTATAGTTTGTCGTTCGGATTTAATTTCAAGTCACTGCAGAGAGTTAGGATACGCCACCCACTCGTCTATTTTGTTACACTATAAATTCTTACATATATATATTTTTTTTAAATAAAAAAAGAAGACACATTATATAGAACTCAACAATAGAATATTAAAAACCCAAAGTATAGTTTGCCATGATAAACATGATTCGAGATCTCTTAGATGAATAATCTCGTCAAGGAGGAAAGACGAGATTATAATTTCTCTTACAGATAGAAAGACGAAGAAGCTTGCATGTTATTGTCAATTAGAGTAGCCATCTTTAAAAAAAATATTAAGCTAAAAAGATATTTTTGTATAAACTTTTTACTCATTTTACAATTCTAATAGTAATATATAAAGCTTTCTATTATATATTAGAAATTTAAAGGTTTTAAAATAAGCTATTAAATTTTTGAATTAATTATCATGTGCTTTAGTGAATTTAAAATATTTATATTTTTTTATGTCTTTTATTTCGTTAAATGTCTAACGTAATTGATTATTGATGAGTGCATTTGTAAATGTAATAAACAAAGACAAAAAAGTAAAATAACAAATAGATCAAGTAGTTTGTTATAGATATTTTATGGGATTGACAACACGTGTCCCTGTAGCGCAGTGGATAGCGCGTTGGACTTCTAATCCAAAGGTCCCGGGTTCGAATCCCGGCAGGGATGGAGGTGTCTCCGGAATTTTTGGACTTAACAATTAAAAATTTTCTTATCTTAGAATTTGTTTTTTCGTTTAGTTTTTATTACTTTTAAATTTTGATTGTTCAATTGTAATAAAAATTTTAAAACATATTTTATAAAATAGTTATATATATATTTTATGGATTGATTTATTAAAATATTATCTTAATTTAAATTGAATAAAAATTTAGTAAATAATTTAATTTAATAAAATTTAAAATTCATGTTTATAATTAATTAACAATAAATAAAGTTTATCTCAATAATCGTCAACAGATGGCGGCATATAAAATTTAAAATATTTTAAAAGTAATTTGATAGCTTTTTGTGGATTTAACTTAAGCATTGATTATTATAAACCTGTATAAGAATTTTTAAAACAAAATTAAAATAAAACACACAATATTTACTACATCTATTACGCCATTGAATCACGTGATTGAAATTTAATTGTAATATTTTTAAGATATTGTGCTTCATATTACATTTTATTTATCATAATTAAAATTTTTAATATTAATAAAACAATATTAAATGTGATAAAATTACATTATTTAAAAAAGAGTTTTCTTGTCCACGTGGTCTCACGTTTGAAAAATGGCGATTTCCTCGGACGAACACGTGGAAACTGTTACCAATGGTGCCCAGGAAAATATTAATTATTTAAATTCGTCAAGAATAGAAAAAGTTAATAAATTAATTTTGGATTCGTTTTATGAGCTAACAGATGTCAATAAAAAGACTAGATTTAAAGCCGTTGAAAATATGTTGAATACTCTACAAAGGTCAAAAGTAAGTGCCATGTGTGTCATTTCTTTTTGTTTCAGTACATAACATTTTAACATATTATAACATTATGTATATTGTATATAATTTTACTTGATATGCTATGTTATATAAAGAATGAACTCGTACAGTATATATATATATATATGTAATTCTGATTGTTAGTTTGAAATGATGTTACCACTATATATTACCCACTTATTAGTGCTGAAAATCATCCTTATACTAGAAAAAAAGCCAAATGAGTATTGGATCTTAGGGGTCTAAGATGACTTTTTTTTTCAAAAATTAAAATATATGTAGTAACTTTATTGTTATTTTTTTAATATGCACAGTCTTTAAGTATTTTAATTTTTTATATACTTGTAGGGAAAAGACCACAAATTTTACATTGATTCAAAAATACTAATTGGTCTTCTGTTTGATCATTTTTTTTAGTGTTTCATCTGGACAGTTGCTTCCCAATTGTTTGGTTTAATAAAAATTCACAAAATAAAATTATTTTATGAAGGAATAAAAAATTTGCCCATTATACAAATTGAAGAGTACTGGAAGAATTTTTAAAAAACAGGCATAAAAAAAATACATTATACTTAATTCATACCAGTTGTCTTTACTTTAAATGATTTTTATCCAGTTTATCTACCAGAAGAATCAAACAAATTGTCTATGAACTTCTGGCTGTACACTTAGAAGACTACCAATTTGCTGTTATCAACTCAAGGCAGCTAATTGGGGCAATACAAGATTACTCAGCATCCAACAACTTCTGGATCACTATTTTAGACTGTCTTTGTATCCATCTGTTAAACTCAAGCCTTGTTTTTGCTGTTTGTGGGATTGGTTCATGATTAGAGTTAAAAACAATATGGGCCATAAACAAATTATTGAATTTTCTGAAATGTTTTGTTATATCTCTTGTTTTCAAATGGATGGGGATATGTTCTTTCAAAGAGTAGTATCTATGGGTAGCCTTCTGTCTGGAGATGTGGTTGAAAATTTGATGTATCTCTTGGAGGCCAAGATCATTCCTAAATTCCCTTCCATATTGAATGTATGAAAGATACATTGACAATGTATGCATCATCTGGAAAACTAAGCCTAACATCAGTGAGTTTATTAGCAACATGAATGACAATCCATATGGTCTCTCCATTGAATTAGAGCAAATGAATAACACTTTTTAGCCCACTTTTTAGATATAAGAATCTCCTTTAATGGTAATGGATACACCACTAAAATCTACCACAAACTGAGCTTCATTCTAATATACATATTGGCCAGCTCCAATGATCCATAGAACTGCAAGATGATGGCCTGTAGCGCACTGATTAGAAGGGCTCACAAACACTACAACTGGAAACAAGACATAAAAATGGAGCTAAAGCAAATAGTGGAAAACACCAAGAAGCATTGCTATACTAAAAGCTTAGTAAATAAAATTGTGCATAAGCAAAGAAACTTTGCCTGGGGAGTGTCCCTCATTGTAGTTTAATTCTGCTGGTCAGAGACCAAAACTGCAATCATGGACACTCCCCAGCAACATGTTTCTCTCCATCGTGAAGTTATAATATACAAATGCTATATGCATTCTTTATATTGAGAGATAGAGTTGTATGTTGGTGCAAAAATCGCAAACAGGCATAAACCTGATGCATTCAGACTGCTTCAAAATGAGAAAGAGTACTGGGAGTATATGAAGTTCTGCTTAGAGACAACAGATTTGAATAGTGATCTCATATATATTAGATCTTCGAAGAAGTCTCTCAAACAGCACATTCTTGAACATAAGACTGATATAGAAAAGAAGAAACAAACCTCCATTTTGGCTATATATTCAAGTGATAATAAGATTAAAACAGAACTCCAACAAGCTGTCCTAATATGAAAAACATATCAAAATCAGTTCAGAAATTTAGAGGTATTAGAAATATTTAAGGCAGGCCATATTTGACGCAACATTGTAATAGGCAATGCACAGACTATGAATAGATGCACCCATTGAATATTTAAGAAAAAATTAAAGAGGAAAACAATGTTCTGATTTAAATGCATCAGAGTCTTCTACACATCCTAATCTAGAATGCCCGTACCAGAAGGATTCAGTTTTGGAAAAATCTACCTGAAGAAGGTCTTGAGATAGACCAAAAATAGCAGTAATGGTTTTCTCACTTACATGCAAGTAAGGCTTACCACCCGAACTAAATAATTTATAAACTATAAATAATTTTTTATAGTTTATGGACAACATAATAATTAATAATAGTCAAAGGCCACTCACATTAATATGAATTGCTAGGGGAACAGTAGTTAGTTCACTTTATTGAAAATTCATAACAATTTTCAAGGTCAAGGTTTGTAATTGATGGAGTTATGGTTTAACAGGCAATCAAAAGCTCAAAAATTAATACGAAATTTTATTTAAAAAAAAACAAATTCCAAGTCTTTTTAAAATTAAACAAAATGAGGAGATGGTATTTGCCATTTAAATGTGGAGCAGTATAGTCAAGCAGTTAAACAAAACAAAACAAAGCTAAATGAAATTCTTAATTTTTTTTTTTATTGAAAATTGTTTGAAAAAGTATAAATATTTTTAGAGAAAAAAAAGCCAAATTTGACACAATTTGACAAAAGGCAAAAAGTATTTGTAGAAAATAAATATACAGTAGAACCTCCATTATCCGGATTTTCGATTATCCGGATTGTCTAAAGTAAACAAAAATTTTACGAATTTGCTGATTTGCACTTGGCGAATTACGACACTGTTTATGTACATGATGGAATGCATAACTTTTTTTGTTTCAACAACGTCTCACCCAGCACAGTGGTCGTAAACTCTTAAATATATTTTACGTCGTAATAAAAATATAACTTGACATACGTATTTATAAATAATTTATATTCAAATTACATCATTTCTATGACCAAGGGCGGCGTAAGGCATGGACGACGTGGGCCACCGCCTATGCCTCGCGGTCCGAAGGGCCTCGCGCCTCGAAGGTTTATGCATTACTTAAAAGCCGCGAACGCGACGAAAAAATTTTACTCGTCATAAAACGATAAATAGTTTGTCAAATTTTTATTCATAAAAATGCAGTTTCAACTGCTTTTTATTTTATAAAATCCGTCTTCTTGCGCCACCAGAAGGCCTTTTAAACAATAGGTAGTCTGTTAGCGTTGGTCAGTAGTAGTCCAAATTCAATACGAACGTTTGTTTATTGAAAATCTGATCATGATTTAAATACAGTATTTACTTTTAATATTACCGATATGTCATCGAAAAGAAAACGTGTTGTATTATCATTAAAAGACAAATTAAAGTATTTTTTCGATTATCCGGACTACCTTCATCCCCAATTAGTCCGGATAATAGAGGTTCTACTGTATTTATGTTATTATAATTTATAATGCCATGAAATTTGGCACCATTATGATGATAATGATAAAACAAACTGCTTTTTGATAACCAAAACTAGCAGTTTATTTATTTTAACACTGTGCCAAGAACTTTTTAAAATGCTGCTGTTTTGAATATAATTTGATGTTTTTCCTGCTGTGTTTATTTGTAAACCAAATAATGATGGGTCATACAATTGTCAATTTTTCATTTATATTATGAATTGTGAATTATTTTATGTTTTAGTTTTTTCAGTTATTTTAAAATTTAATATATATTAATTATAGGAAGATAACACTTCTGATATTTCATACTGCTTACAACGATTAATGAAAGGACTAGCTTCTTCAAGAAAAGCTGCTAGACAAGGATTTGCTGTAATGCTGACAGAAGTAAGTAATTAATTTTTATTTAATACAAATTAAATGAATTATCATCATTAATTTGTTTTAAAATTTTATAAAATTTTTCAAAATAAAACTAACAAATTAGTAATAGTAATAAGTATAAAACTATACATATATTTTTTCTTATGTATTTTATTATAGTTGCTAAGAAAGTTTCCATCAGTATCCTTAGATGAAATTCTGAGTCTAATTTCAAAACATCTTTCAATCACTGGTGATAAAATGGTATCTAATGATGATTTTACTCATTTGAAATTTGAAAAGTGAAATTATTTCATAATCTATTAATTTTTTTTTAATAGGAGAAACGTAATAATATAATTGGACAAATAATTGCATTTGCTGTCATTGTTCGTTCAGGAAAATTTAAAGAAAATTTGGAAAAAATGAATGAAGTTATAACTTGTCTACAAAATCTACAAAAGAAAAATTATATGAAATTAATTGTGAACAAATTGTTGGTTAATATTTTTAATCAGGTAAAGAATAAGTTTTATATTTAAAATTAAAATAATTCTTGCCAAATATTACATCAAAAATTTTCTTGATTAGATTTGAGCTGATCTTATTACTATTCTAAAAATAATTTTCAAATTTTAAAAATGTTTTAATCGAATGTAAATGTATCTGGAAAAAAGCTATGTTTCAGAATAGAATTTTTGCAGATAAAACTTTGTTTTAGATGTATTAATTACTATCTGCAAAAATCTTGTTTATTTATAATTTAAATTTTCAAATAATTAATTGATCTAAATGATTAAATCTAACTTTTAATTGACGGGTATTATTTAAATAAGGTCTGTTTTTTGATAAGAAGAAAAATACTGTAAATATCATTAAAATATATTTTTTTCCATATTCTACATACTTTTATCTACTTTTCTACATAATTTCCATTTTTGTTCAAACATTTGTCATACTGCTCAAAAATTTTTTAAATTCAGACTTTAAAGAAATCTACCACCTGTTGCTGGAAGACATTAGACCACGCTGCTTGTCTTGTTTGGCATGGCGGAGTTTTCTTAAGGCACACAATAAGCATCAGAATTGACTGTTGTGCCTCTTGGCATAAAATCCACTAACAAAGTCCCATTCCTGTTCCAAAAGACAGTTACCATGATCTTTCGTGCTGAAATTGAATAACAGATCGTATCTTACAGTCAGTGGGCGACTCAATTTTCTTAAACATTATAAACTTCTACAGCTCAGCACACAGACAGATGATACGGCTGCAAATAGCATCTAAACATGCGCAAAGCATGCTGAAAGCAGATGCTCATGCACACTGCTGCAATCACATGTCATTCTCACTCTCATTCACAAATGGACCTTATTTAAAAAATAGCCCTTGTATAATGCAGGGGTGCACAACCTGCGGCCCGCGGGCCACATACGGCCCCCTATCAATGTTTATGCGGCCCGCGGACGGTACAGGCCAAATCACTTCTTTCGAAGTTTCTAAGTGTAGAACTTTTTCCCTTTCACAAAGTCATTAGCACCCAACTGTTTTATGACTTTCCCTGAGGTGAGAAATGGGGGATTGTTCTATAAATAAGTCTATTTCTATCTAACACTTTCTGGTTTAGATATCGAATATTTTAAAATGATGTTAGAACGTCATTTCCGATGTTATCGGGAAGTTTCTATTTTGGCGGAAAATCTTCAATTTTATGCTTCGGAAAACTTGCCTATTCGTCTAAATAGCGTCAAATAACAAAAATAAGTGAAAATAGCGNTTTAAAATATTATTTAAATAAAATAAGTATTATTATGCCCAAAAAATTATTAACAAACATAATAAGTAAATGCAGTAATACATAAGTAAGTACATAAATTACTTTCATTCAACAAATATTATAGATAAATATTTATCTATTTCTAAATATTGTATTATTAAATCACAAATAAGCTATGGTAAACTTGATTATTTAAGCAATTTTTTATCTATTAACTAATGTGACTCAATGTAAAGCATTAGGTCATGTTAGTTAATAGCTTGTTTGATATGATGACACTTATTGCTTAATTTAAATAATAGTATAAACAATTTTGAATTTTAAATTAGTATTCTAAATATATGGTATGAAAATGTTAGAGATTTTGAATTTATACTATAATATTCTAATTTTATTTATTTTTTGTTCTAATTAATATCCAGATGAAAATAATGTAACTGTTGTTGAAAGGACTTACACTTGTATTTTAAAAATATACAACTTTGTTGTTTATGTTTATTTCAACAGTTTAACACCATAAGATTATAATGTTTATACAGGGTTCCTACGCACCTGGAAAGTCAGGGAAAGTCAGGGATTTTCATTATTTTTTGAAAAAGTCAGGGAAAGTCAGGGAATTTGTCAAAAATTGTCAAAAAGTCAGGGAATTTGTCGAAAATTGTCAAAAAGTCAGGGAATTTGTCTCCTTAACTGCGTTGTTGATTTCGTTTGCTGAATATAGATGACCAATCATAGCCATACGCAGGCGGCAAGAAGTAATGCTGCAATCTTTAAAACCCGAGATAACTCGGGAAAGTTCCATAGCGTTATATAAAACTCGGGCATTTGGGCCCTCCGAAAAAATTTTTGTTTTTTTTGGATGTTTTTTAAGTCTCCAAATTTTTTCAAAAATTTTTTCCCGCGCGAAAATATTTTATCGCGATTTTAATATACCTTTAATGACGCACGATTAACTCTTAATTGTTTTTTAATGGGAGTTTTTTTATCAAATTTCATTCATCGTTCTAAAGTAGTAGTGCACGGATTTTACTTCGATAAAGTTATTTAAAGCTAGTTTCTGATGTCAAAAACGACCTCCAATAGTTTTTTAATTTTTTTAAATTAATATATTTTATTATATATACGTTTAATTAAGTCGGGGGGTCGGAAATCGCAATAAAAAAACGTAATTTTTGAAAAATATTTAAAAATATACAGCCAGCTAGTATTCACTCTACTTTAAACCCTTCTCCTCCCGAGACTTCTATGAGAATGTCCCGGGAAATCCCAACACCAGCTGTTCTCCAGGTCATCCAGCTGTAAACACAATGACTCATCGGTGTCAGATTTCACAGAAAGGCGAGACAATGGAAAATAAAGTTTGAAGCTTTTTCTTCAAAATTAACGCATTTCTTTCGTTTTTTCCCCAGTTTTAAATATTTTTTATGTTTAATTACATTAATATTAAAAATTAGTGGGTAGCAAGGGAGTTAATTAATAACAGGATAAACTACTTTTATGTAATAGTGTTTAATTTTTAATTTTAGTAATTCAGCGATTATAAAAAAATGAAATTGTTTATTAGAATAAAAAATAACTAATTAAAAATTTGTTTGCAAACTTTTAAAAGTTGAAATCGTAATTTATTAGAATGTTCACTTCAAAATAGCTAAACAGATCAGTAAAAATCTGTAATTTAATCGTTTTTCAGTTTAAAACATAAAAAATTATAAATAGTTACCCGACGTTTACAGTAAAATACTGGCGCTGACTTGTTGTTGGCACAAGCTTTTTATATTTGTTGTTACGATTTTC